GTAATTTAGGTCAGTATCGGACCGATACCGATACGTAATATCGGATCGGTCCATCTCTACAAAGAACTGAGGGGAGACAAAGGATATAAATAGAAACAAGGTAAGTAGGGAAATGGGGATCATCAAAGAACACCTCTGAAATTAAAGACAATTAATTAATTAAAGACAGGGAAAGCAAAGATAAATACAAGGCACACAAGACAAGAGACTATTGAAACAAAACAGGAAAGAATTAAACATGGGAACATCAAACACAGAAACACAGACTTCACAGCCACAGGGAAAACAGGATGGCAGGAAAATTCAAACCCAGGGGATCTAGTATAAACAATAACTAATTACAAATAACAAAGGAAGACCCAATCAAAACTGGGAATTAAATCATGGAAAACAAAATGAGATTGACAAATGACATTTCTTTGTGCCAGCCACTCTCTTCTTCCTCTGAGCATCCCCCAATAGTGCTTTCATTGCTGCATTTCAAATATGAAATATAATGGGGAATAATGACCTTATAACAACCAAAGGAACTTCTGGATTGCCTGCATCCATTGTTCCTGCATGACTGCATCACAGTTCAGTAATAGAATCCTGAAAATTGTGCAGTTCTTAGCAAATTTAGGGCTTATTAAAAAAAGTTGGACTTGCTGAAATGGATCTTTTTAGCTGTTGATTGAAATCAGATGACTTGCAACAGCTTAGTGAATAATATTGAAACTGATCACATTTACTTCAATAGTAAGCTTCAGTCGGTTTAGTGGGTTTCAGGCTTCATCCTAATATCTCTTCAGCTTGCTGCCTGTTCCTTTTTCCCAGTGGATGAGAGGGTTTGTTCCCTGCACAGGTCAATGACCGATTTTGTAATCATATCATCAAATCTGCGGCTGGATGTTCTGGAAACTTGGGTCAAGAGAGGTGCTGAGCCATATACTGATAACCATCTAGCGATGAGGTGCATCCAGTGGTGGGGAAGGATACTGGACATACCTCATGTGCCTAAACATATAGTGAGGGTGTGCTGGGAATTCCTGGCAGGGGCCCCCGTCCACAAGATCTTTAGCTCCTGCCAGAGGTTGACAGCGTTAAGAGGGAGACTGCGGTTTTTGAGTCAGAATGGACCATGTTCAGCACCTCCATTACTGAAGCTGCATTTGGCTGAAGCAGGAGTCTGTTATCGGGCTTGCCTAGCCAACACGTTCTCACTCCCAACTCGTCAAATGTGTGACGCATGGTCAGGCTCCCTCTGCTTCACTTATCGACATGCAGGGTCCTCTCATTGAATACTATAGAGCTCCCTAAACG